GGGTCTGGCTGGGAATGAGGGTCTGGGGTCTGGCTGAGGTCTGGCTGGGTGTGAGGGTCTGGGGTCTGGCTGGGAGTGAGGGTCTGGGGGTCCAGGTGGGGTCTGGATGGGAGTGAGGGTCTGGGGTCTGGCTGGGTCTGGTGGTCTTGGTGCCACTCACCCGTCTGGCCTGTGGCGGACACTGGCGTACTCTCCCCTGCTCCGTAGACTGCCGAGACCAGGACCCTGTATTTGGTGGCTGCCAGCAGGTCGGGGAGCGTCACGTGGCTGCTGGGTCCTGGGACAGAGATCTGGGAGGGGGGACACAGTCACCTAACCCTCCCTCCCCCTGAGCATCTTTGCTCATTTGGGCATCTCTGCTCTCATTTGTTTGTGTCCTGCCGGGGAAGACATGCCCCCCTCAGCAGACAGGGTGGGCCGTGCCTCCCCCACGGTGCCCGGGACCTAGGGGCCCATGAGGGGCATGGCCTCCCCGCTCCTCCAAGACCCACCGACTTCTCGGATCCCGAGCCCGAGGCCAGCACGTAGGTGAGCCGGTAGCGGAGGACGTGGCCGCTTGGGGGGGTCCAGCTGACCCGCAGGCTGCTGGGTGACTCGGAAGCCAGGGCCAGGTTGGAGGGTGGGCTCTGGAGTGCTGTGAGGCAGGCACCCCCATGAGCACCTGGGGGCTCAGAGAGGGCGGCCCGCAGGGTGGCCAACACGCCCTCCCACCACGTCCTGCTGCCCCTAGCCTCAGCACGGACGGGGCCACTGCCACAGGCCAGCCCCAGGAGAGCCTAGAGGATACGCGGTGACGTGAAACCTCGGTCCCCCCTGGGAACACCTGCCGGGGGGGTCTGGGGAGAGCCCGTGGACCCCGCAGTCAGGCCAGAGGGCCAGGGACTCAGGGAGCTGTCTACGGCTCTGGAGTCTGGGGTCCCTCTGGGCTGTCCCTGCTCCTCACGCAGCTGAGGGGCGGAGCAGGGGTCACCTACCAGGGGTGTAGCGGAGGGACACTGGGTCGCTGCGGGCCCCATCCCTGTAGTAGGCCAGGATGGTGATCTCATACTCCAAGTGGCTTCGGAAGCCAGGCAGGACCGCCATGCCCAGGTTCCCTGGGACAGAGATCTGCTGAGAAAAGGGACAGGCGTGCGCCCTGCAGACAGGTGTCCTCGTGCGGGCTCTGCCCACAGGCCGCAGGGAGGCAGGTGCCCCAGGATGAAGCGCCAGGGTCTGAGCTCTCCCGGAGCTGGGGGGCAGGAGGGTGGTCTTCCTCTCCCCACACCACACCTCACGGGCCTTCCCGTCTCCCAGGGGAGTCCACTTGATCTGGTAGACGAGCACTCCAGAAGCCGCGGCGGCCGCCCACTCCAGCTGGACCTCGTCCCCAGGGAGCTCTGTCACCGAGAGCTGGCTCGGGCTGGGGACCTTCCCTGGAGACAGAGCAGGGACACAGGCTGGGGCGGCAGGGCCTGGACAAGCAACAACCCTGAGGAAGTGGCCTCTGTGCCCCACTGGGGCTCGTGGGGGCCCCACATGCCCCCGCCCTGGGCGACTCGCCAGAGACCCGCCCCTGTGCGCGTGAAGGTTTCACTGTTGCGGGACCACACTTGGGGGTGGCTGCCCGTGGCGGGGCACAGGGGACCCTAGACCCCACACAACAGCCATGCCATTCCTCCCCTTTCCCAGTGCCCGGCTGCAGGCTGGGCATGGGCCCTGCTTCTTGAGGTGCCCCGGGTCACGCCCTCCAGGGCCCCATGCCCCGCATCACATGTGTCCGGTTACATGTGCACCCACCTAGCTCAGCACTGCACGGGGCAGCACCTGGGCCGACGTGTTTAGCTTGAACCACCCATCGGGGGAGGGATGAAGCCAGCCTGGGGACCCCACCCTAACCTCAGCCACTCACGTGTGGTCAGGCGGCCGGTCAGCGTGGAGGAACCGCCCGCAGGGTAGAGGCAGGTGACGCGGACAGAATACGTGGTGGAGGAGGAGAGAGGGCCCAGAGTGGCTGAGGTGGCGTTCCCAGGGGCCTCCACCTGCAAGGTGGACAGGCACATGGGTGCAGGCCTGGAGCCAACTCCCCATGCCAGGGAGGGGTCAGCCCCTGGCAGGAAGGAGACCCTGGCCTGGGATGTACACTGGAGGGGGTACCCACCCCACGTGTGGGGCCTCCTGGGCCCTCGCCCGCCCCACCCCCTCTCTCAAAGAGCCCGGCTCACAAGCCCCGTGCCCTGCACCCTGCATCACAGATGTCATTTATGTGTATTTGTCTGATTCCTAGCTTCACACCTGTCCCTTCCCTGCCCCTGCAGACTGGGGCCCCCAAAGGCCGGGATGGAGTCAGCTCCACAGCAGGCCAAAGCTGGTGCCTGGGGGCTCCGCCAACACCCAACAACTGTGAACGCAGGGTGTGGGGGGGCTGGGGGTGCTGGCCCCTGTGTTCACCTCATCCCCGCTGGACCCCAGGTCCCCCAGTGGCCCAGGCTCTCTCACCTGCCCGGAGTGGCTGCCCTCACTGGAGACAAAGCTGACCCTGAACAGGCGCACGGGCCTCGGGATGCCCTCCCAGAACACGCGGGCTGAGTCGTGACTCACATCCGAGAAGCCGAGGTGTCTGGGGGGCGCCAGGGTGGCTGTGGAACACATTGTAGCCTCAGGGACCAGCCAGTGCCCTCTCCCTAACTGGTTAGGGGCCACCAGAGGGGTCTGGGATTCCCCACCTGGTGGAGGGCTGAGAGGAGCCAGAGCGGGGCATTTGCCCCAGGGGCAGCAGCCTGTGGGGCGGGGCACTCACCGGTCCTGGCACGGATGCCCTGGGCCTCGCTGGCCTCTGTCCCTTGCAAGCTCTGCACCCAGACATCATAGTCTGTGCCAGGCTCCAGGCCGTCCAGCAGCGCCTCTGGCTGTCCCACCCGCACCTGCAGGGGTGTGGCACTCGTGCTGGCCCCTGCCCACCCCATCTGCCCCCGGATCACCCTCCTCTGCCTCCCCTCCCAACTGGCCTCAAACCTCTCTGCCCTCCTCCTGGCCCCGGGGGAAGGCCGGCAAGCATCGCACGAGGTACTGTGTGGCCCCAGCCGAGGGCCGCCAGGTCAGGCGGATGGTTCTGGGGGTCACGGCAGCCAGGGTCAGGGCCTGGGGCGCAGGCAGAGGCGCTGGGGGAGGGGGGACACTTTAGGAATGCAGCACCTTGCAGAGAGCATGCACACACACCGGGGGGCCTCGCTCAAATGACAAAGGGCCCAGGTAAGTGCAGACCCTGTGGAGGGTCTCAGTGGAGATAGAGGTGGGAGGGTGGGGGACGCCCCACAGGCCAGTCTGACCCAGCCAGACTTCATTTCAGGCTGGGTTTCCAGCTGACAGCTCTGGGGGAACACAGCCACCTGTGGGTTTCTGGTTAAGGCTACCTGCCCTGAGTGTGGGGGTGCCATGTCCTCAGGTTAGAAACCCCACAGGAAGCCACGTATCGTGTGGCCCAGAAATGGCAAATCCATGCAGACAGATGAAGACTGGGGATTGACAGGGGCTGAGGGGCTGGGGGCAGCGGGGGTGCAGAGCTTGTCTCCCGGTGAGGATGATACTCCACAGTCGACCGCGGACACACCGGGGACTAGACTGACTGCTGAGTCTCACACTAACAGATGAGTTGCACGACGTGGGGATTATGTCTCAAGAAAGCTGTTGAAGGGGCTCATGGCAGGCCAGAGAGGGCGAGAGCCCCACAAAGGCTTGAGCAGCTCAGAAGAGGACACCGAGGGTCAGAGAGGCCCAGCGACCGGGCCTTGGTCCCACAGCAGGTGGGCTGAGACCAGGCCAGCCTCGGCACCACCCCTGCTGGCGGGAGGCTCCAGGGAGGCTATGGATAGGGTAGCCCCCAGCCCCGGCCCGGCTCCACCCCACCCACCTGTGGTCACAAGGCCCCGCAGGCCCTGGCCGACCCCGGCCTTGCCAACAGGGAACACAGACACCAAGTACTCGGTGCCGGCCATCAGGCTGTGAAGCTCCGCGGACGAGGTGGGCCCCTCCACCACCACCTAGAAGAGGAACCACAGCAGAGCCCGCGGGGTGGGCGCAGGGGTGGGGAGTGCAGAGGTGCAGGGGGTGCGGGGCGCAGGGGTGCGGGGCGGGGACAGGATCAGCTCTGCTGGGGCTGAGGTCAGTCCTCGCCTCCCACGGTGACCTTGGCCACCAAGCAGCCATGGGAGGCGTGAGCAGCACACACACTCCCTCTCTCCCCTCAGCTCGCGGGCCACGGCTGGTGCCCTTCCTCCATGACGCCGCGTCACGTGCAGCCCTGACTCACCTCCTGCGGGGTGCCGCCCCCGGAAGGCTGCCACGTGATCAGATACTTGAGCGGCAGCTGGGGGGCTGCGGTCCAGGACAGGCGGACGCTGGAAGAGGTCACCTGGGTCACAACCAGGCTGGTGGGAGTGCAGGCGGTGTCCGGGGCCGGGGTGGCAGCGGCCGGTGTACCTGGGTGCGAGGGACGGTCAGGGGCCCAGCAGGCAGCCTGCGTTAGTGGTGCTACCTGCTCTCCCCGGCGGCCACTTCCAGGAGGGCAGGTGTCCCCCAGCTGCAGACACCCTCAGAGCCCTGAGAGCCGAGGGGCACGGGGCTCAGGGCGTCCCATCCAGGGGCCACAAGCGCCCCCTCCCTTTGCCCAGAGTGGCCGGGCGGGGCCGCAGCCAGCAAGGGTGACCCCGCTCACCAGGGCCCCGGCTCCCGCCCTGCACCTTCTGGCAGATGAGGCGGCTGAGCAAGCCGGCCAAGGTGCCGAGCTGCGGGAAGTCCTGCACGTTGTGGACGGTGATGTCCAGCGGCGGGGACGCCAGGAGCTGCAGCTCAGCCTCATCCGCGTTCTTCACGCCTGCTCACAGGGGAGGGTGGTGAGGACGCACCTGACCCCACCCACCCAGCGCTGTTGTCCCATCCTACAAGCACGACCACAGGCCCCTGGCCCGAGTCACCCAGTGGTCTGCAGGGGCCTTCCCAAGCCCTGTACCCAAGATCCCACGGGCCCCGGAACCGCGTCACCTGACAGGGCCCCCGAGAGACGGCAGCTGGGCGCTGGTACAGGGGGGCTGGGCTCCCAAAGGCCCCTTGCAGGCTGTGCCGGGGTCTCTATGGAGTTTGGGGCCAGGGGGGAGGCCAGTGTGCTTTCCTCAGAGTCCCACGCACCCCCAGACCTACTCGTGAACCCGGGGCCTGGGATAAAACCATGATACAATGGGATCTGGGCACCAAGGAGGTACTCTGCCCCCAGGAGCCCCCAGATCTGCAGTTCCCTTCCCAAGGGACAGAGATAAGAAGTGACTGGTGAAGTGAGCAGAACGATGTCACGGGGGCGCCAGGGCCTGTGACAAGGTGCGTGGGGCACACGCAGAGGGGGAACATCCACACATGGCACTGAGAACTCGGGGTTTTGCTCGGGAACCCCACATCGTGTCCCCCGTCCGAACGCCCATGGGTGCTCAGCTCCTCGGAGCAGGGACGGGTCCTCCCTGTGGCACAGACGCCACAGGACCCCCAGCCCTGGGGCAAAGAAGTGGGAGTGCAAACTGCCCCCCGCGGCCGTGAGAACCCCAACCGAGGGCCGGGGGCTGCTCACCCACAGCAAAGACGGCAACACCCAGGTCCTTGAGGACATGGCCAGCAGCACGGACATCATCCTGGGATTTGCCGTCCGTCACTAGGATCACCACCTTGGCCGCCTCTGGACGGGTCCCCGCTCCAGGCTTCAGGTTCTGCTCCCGCACGTGAGTCAGGGCCAGGCCTTGCGCAATCGAGAATCAAGGGCGTGCGGCCCCACGCGCCCCTCCTGGCGCCCTCCCTGCCCGATCCCACTCCACCGGCCAGACCCCAGCACAGGGCCCACCGAGTCAGTCCCGGCCCCGCCAGGCTGGGGGCTCCAGAGTCAGGGACCACCGCGAGACCCAGGGCTCTGCCTGCGGGAGACGCTCCTTGGGGGCTGCTTCCACTCGCGGCCCCTCCTGGAAGCTTCTACCCATCAGAGGAGCCGCTCGCTTCTAGGAAGACAGCCTGACGGAAAGCCCTGTTTTCGTCAAAGATAATTAAGGGGTGACCTGCTCTTTACGAAGGTGTGAATCAGGCTCAGCACCCACATCACACTCGGCTTGATTTACATTCGGGTTTTCAAGTCTGGGAGGCTGACCTGCGGGATGGAGCCGGGGCTTCGGGACAGAGACCTGGACAGACCCCCCAAGGGTGGGGTCACTGGGGGCCCAGGCACACCTGTGAACGTGTTTCCCCCTCTGTAGCGGAGGCTGCGGACAGCTGTCACCACCTCCTCCTTGGTGCGGAAGGCGCTGAGGTCCCACTCGGTCTGGGGGTCTCCACTGTACTGAGTCAGGCCTGGGCGGGGGGCAGGTGCTCGGTGCTGAGCCGACCACCCAACACACAGCCTCACTGGGACACCAGGGAGGGCACACGTTTACACACGGACAGTCACCAGAACGTCCCCCAGCCCCTGTGGGAGCCCCCACCTGCCTGGCCGGGCGGGGGGGTCAGTGTGTTGGCGGCCAGTGATACCGATTGGCAGGGCTGTCCTTCGGTTTCCCCAGGAGGCTCCGTGCCTCCTCTCCGACTTCCCGTTTCTCAGAGTTGGGCCTCCCGTGGGTGCTGGTAGGAGGACTAGTGGGGACGCCTGGCAGCAGGGCCACAGGGCAGGGGGCCGGTACCTACCGACTTGGACTTTATTTGGCCCAATTTCAAAGGGCTCGATGACGCTGGCCAGGAAATCTTTGACCTGCTGGAAATGACCGTGGCCAATACTCCAGGACCCGTCCACCAGGAAGATCATGTCCACGGGTGTGGGGGGTGTGCAGCGGAACTGGGGGCTAGCTGGGTGGGGAGGGAGGGAGGGAGGTGAGGAGCTGGGCCAGGCCCACACCACTGCAGGAGCCCCCATCCGCTCCAGGTTGGGCTCCAGCCCCCCGGGTCTCCTTCCCTGGGGTTGGTGGAGGGTGAGGGGTCGCGGGGCTCTGGCCTCAAGTGTGGCAGGTGGCCACGTCTTGGGGGCCCTCACTGGACTCAGAAAACCCCACGTGAGCCCTGGTTCATCGTGTCAGCGCTTTGAGTGCCCCCAGGGAGGGTTAATGAGACTCCCAGGCGCGTCTGCCTTCCAGTGACCTCGGCAGGGCCAGTCCCTGCGTGTGGTTGTCAATGTGGGGGCCAGTGGGCAGAGGCTAGCCAAGGGGGTGTTGACTGGGGGGCGGTCAGCATGGTTGGCAGCTCTGGGCTGAGGCCTCGCTGGCTGGGGTGGTGGCTTGTCCTGATGACCTAGGAGCTCTTTGGACACCAAGCCCCTGCCTGGGTCTGGGGCTCCCCGAGAGTCTATACTCTCAGTGCCTCCAGGCCGAGCCCCAGACCCAGGACAGGCCCCTCATGAGGACTCCTGGGTAGCGTGAGTGCAAGGAGACCCCCATCTAATGGGCACAGCCCTGCCCTCAAAGCCTTGTGTCGTTGGGGAGACCGTCCTGGCAGACCCCAAGTCCAACGGGGGACGGTGAGGGCGAGAGAGGGGCCGTGTCCCTCTGAGGAAGGAGATACCTCTTTCCATCCCAAGTGTGATTGATGGGGAGACAAAGTCAGAGACATCCCAGGCCTGGGGGAAGAGGCATGGCCGATAGAAATGTCACACCTGTCTGCCCTGCCCTGGGTCACGCAGCCCCTGCCCCGAAAGCCCACAGAGGCTGGTGCCCTGGTGGTTTTACCCAACTTCTCCATCGTTCCCGCAGAGCCCCGGGCCTGGCTCTGCCTCTCCAGGTTTGTGGTGGGCTGAGAAGGGGCCTTGTCCCCTGAGCCCCTGGGTGGGCGCTGCTCCTCGCCAAGCAGTCCTGTGGAGGTCACAGTTGTGTCACCTCTCACCTGTCACACTCAGACTGGGCAGCAAGGGGCACTGGGGCCCAAGCGCACCCCCAGTGGGGGACCTGCCCCCGTGAGCCTGGGTGAATGCAGGAGAGCGGCCGGCATGCTCAAGGAGAAGCTGGAATGTGAGGTCAGGCGTGAGGAAGAGCATCCCGGCCGCATGAAGAGCAAACCTTGGAAGGTGACTTACCCTCACCCGACTCTGCACCACCAGGAGTGGGCGGGTCTTGGCTTGGGGACAAGGCAACTCGGGGCTCAGGGTCTGGGCTCCCCACGTGGAAGGGCATGGGCTCCACGGCTGCCTCCAGCGGCATCCGGCCACTCCTGCTCACAGAGTGACTCTTCAGATCCTCAACTGCAGAAAGATGCGAGGGGCTGTCAGGGTCCCCCACCCCGAGGTGGGAGCAGGGCCTGGGGGGCTGCATGGGGAGGGGGGCCACAGCTCCTTTCCACACACACACCCACTCTGAGGCTGGGTTCCTTGTGCAGGATTATGGACTTACTCACAAACTCCTGCTGCGCCAGCAGGGCATTCCCTGAGCTGGTGAGCTCGAAGATCTGCACGGTGTAGCCCTTGGAGGGGCTCAAGCCCCCCACCGTGGCCTTGGGGGTCTTGGTGGTCAACATCACCTCCTGTTCCGCATCCCCTGGGGTGGGGGTGGGGAGAGAGATTGAGACAACCAAGGTGGGCAGGTGTGTGTCTATGCACATGCATGTGTGCGTGCATGTCACAGAGTGGGTAAATACTCTCGACATCTAAAATTTAAAAAGATTACCCAAAACTGCTAGTCCAAATTGCCTCTGTCAGAAACAAACACAATTTTTTTTCTGAAGTAAGACAGTGTTACATAAGGTCATAAATTATTTCCATAAGTTTTCACAACAGCTGGCACTCAATGAAGGGCAACCAGGTGTACAAGGAACAAGAGGAAGTGACAGAAAGTTAAGAGAAACAACAGACAATAGGAAGAGACCCACGGATTTTCCAGACAATGGAGTCAAGGGGCTTTAAATTAATTATACTAACTAGTCTGAAGACTTAGAGATAAGCCTATGAATTTGGGTATCAAACTAGAAACAATAAAAAGGAAATTCTAGAATGTAAAAACCAAATGGACATTTTCCAAATGGAAATTCTGGAATGGAAAAACAAAAAACTGAAGTTAGGAATTCAAAGAATGACTTAACACCTTCTTACACATAAATGAAGAGATAAATAGTGGAATACAGGTCAGGATAGAAAACACAGAATTAAGAATGGAGAAATAGGATGCCTGGGTGGCTCAGTGGGTTAAGCGTCTGCCTTCGGCTCAGGTCATGGTCCCAGGGTCCTGGGATCGAGTCCCGCATCGGGCTCCCTGCTCAGTGGGGAGCCTGCTTCTCTCTCTGCCTCTGCTGCTCCCCCTGCTCGTGCTCTCTCTCTCTCAAATAAATGAAACCTTAAAAAAATAAATTGAAAATTACTTGAGACCTAGGAACCACATAAAGTGTGTGGATTCTGTTGGGATCTCAATTCAAATAAATTAAGTGTAAAAAATATTTATCAGACAAGTTGGAAGATGAGAACACAACAAAACATTTAATGGTAGCTCTGAAATATTTTCACTTTTTAGGCATGCTAGTTGTACTGGAGTTATTTCTGAGTCCTTCCCTTTACTAAAATATTTATAAACAGAATTATATGATTATACGATGTCTTGGATTTGCTTTAAAATAATGCAATATATAGAAGGGGTTGGAGACAGAGATCACACAGTAGTGGCCATATGTTGATAACTGTCAAAGCTACATCATGGGAACATGAAGCTTCATTACACTATGGTCAGTCTCTTCTTTTGCAGGTGTTTAAATTTTTCCATAAAAATTGAGTTTCAAAGAGGATAAGGAGAGAAAAAAATACACACACATATATATAACAAGTATAACAAAAAGAAAACACAGGAAAATGATAGATTTAAATCCAAATATGTCAGTAATTTCATTAAATGTAAATGGAAAAAAACGTTTCCATTAAAAGGCAAAGACTGTCACATTGGACGAACACCACGGGATCACGTCCTCCTTAGAAGGTGCACCTACGGTGCCAGGTGAGGGAAGGCTGAGTAGATGATGTCATGCAGGCATGCCCAGTGGAGCCAGCAGCCCTGGCTGCGGAGGGGGCGTAAGGGAAACCTGACGAGAGAGAACGGGAGCACTGCACAGCAGGAAAGCTCTGTCCAGTAAGAAGATGGAAAGATCTAGACTTGTGTGCACCTGAAACGTGGCCTCAACATACAAAGCAAAATTTGGTGAGACAAGCAGAGGAAGACATTTCTAGCACGGTGGGGATTTAAGATATTTCTCTCCGTGACTAATAGGATAAGTAGCCCAAAAAATTAACAAAAATAAAAAAGATTTGAAAAACAGGATAAGTAAATTTGGCTTAATCAAAATATCAGAAAACTGCCCCCAAGTCAGAAAGGGGGTTATTCTTGGTGGCAGAGACAGAATGGCGATGGGGAAGGGGCCTGAGTGGGGCTGGGGGAGCACCTTCCCACTCTGGGAGGGGAGCTCAGGCTCATTGGCTTTCTGCCAATTTCTGCAACTACGCACTCCTGTTTGCGGGCTTTTCTGTAGGTGTCAAACCTCAATTTTTGAAAAGTTTTCTTTTTCTTTGGGTGGGGGGAGCAGCAGAAGGAGAAGGAGAGCATCTCAAGCAGACTCCACGCCCAGTGGAGCCTCACATGGGGCTTGAACTCATGACCCTGAGATCAGACCTGAGCCAAAATCGAGCTGGACGCTTGGCCGACTGAGTGACCCAGATGCCCCAATTGCTGAAAACTTTTTAAGATGAGCAGCCAGCACCACGCTGGGGGTGCTCGTGGCCTCCCTCCTGTAAAATGTGAGTTAATCCTGCCCATCAGATGCCAGCTCGCTGGCGTGCAGAGTTCTGAAAGGGATCCAAGCTCGAGGAGGGAGTCCTTGTTTCTCCTAAAGGCGCTGACAGTGCCGTCGGCATGAGCTGGAGGTGGGGATGGGACTTCATAGGACTTATTCCCCTGCTCCCGTTCCCGTGGTACTTCCCCACCACTCACAACATGGGTGCTGGGATGGAGGAGCTGGGCACAGACCAGCACGCCGGCCGCCGGCCCCTTACCTGCCCTGGGCTTCAGCTGTACCAGGTAGCCGAGGCTGCCCCCTTCCGACTCCCTCCACTTCATCTGCAGCTGGTCCTCGGGCAGCACAGCCAGCCTCAGGCGGCTGCTCGCTGGGGGGACACGACCGGTGGTCAGGACTGACCCTGGACAGCACCCAGCAGCTGTGGGGGCCCAGCAGGGGGACACAGGAGAACCTGAGGCCCCGTCTGGGGCTGAAGGGGGACCGGGCCCTCCGAGGGTCCCAGGGGCGAGGGCCACCTGGTAGGTCCAGTGAGGAGACTGCGCCCACCCAGGGAGGCCTGCCCCGCTCTGTGAGGGGCGCCCCCCACCCTGCCAGCTGGGGCCCAGGCAAGCATCCAGGATCAGTAGGAACAGCCCCACTGGCGATCAGCAGCGTGGAGCCCACGTGGCCCCTGCCCCGGGGCCTGGAGCCGCCTCATTTCCCCAGCAGAGTCTACACAGCGCTGTGGGGTCCGTGGCCATCCTGGGAGGAGGAGGAGGGGCAGTAAAGGACTGAGGCCTGGGATATGGCCTGGCCTCCTGGGGAAGCTTCCGGAAGCTCTGTGGCAGGGGTGGCTATTTTTGGAAAAGGGGGACAGAGATGGGCTTCTTCTGGCTGCCCCATGAGAGCTGGGGCACGGGAGAAGGGCAGGGGTTGGGGGCGCCCAGGGCAGACACAATGAGCAACGGCTCACAGGGAGAAGCAGCTGGACTGGGCCTCCGGATGTGCCCAGCGGCTCCCGGGAGCACCAGGCTGAAAGGCAGGAATGCCTGATGGGGGAGCTATGAAAAGCCATTTGTGAGCGGGAACCCCCCAACTCCTGCTCATGAAGGGCCCTCTGTGTCTCATGGTGCCTCTGACACGTTGGGGGAGACATTCCCAGCTGCCTTCGGGATCTGCATGTCAGGGGGCCTTGGTGGGGCATGGGGCAGACAGTGGGGGGCCTGCCAGTGGGAAACCCCCCAGGAGCGCCCCCTCACCAGGGTCACCCCCGGGGCAGGCAGCCCGGACATGTGGGCCCCCACCCACCCTTCCCTCCTCGGGACCGGGAGACCCAGGTCTGCCCAGAGTCCGCAGGGACCCTGCTGAACGCGGAGCTCAGTGTGTCCGTGGGCTCACCAGTGACTTGGCCCCACTGTGGCGTGATCCTGTCAGGGCCACGGGGACCCAGGGACACGCCTGATGACCGCGGCCAGTCTGCATGCCAAACCAGCACTGAGGAAGAGCGGTCAGCAGACCCGTGCCTCCCTCCACACGAGGTGTGGCCGTGTGGCATGCCCCTGTACCGTGCACGCATTCTCAACAGGGACCGTGAGTCAAACACAGCGAGACTCGGGCAGTCGCCCAGGAGGGGCAGCTTCAACCAGTGAGGAGGCAGGTCTCCTGCCCTCACAGGAGTCGCCGGGAGCCGCCCGGGCCAGGGGCAAAGCCAGGGCGTCAGCAGCCGCAGACTGGCCTTCCCAGAATCAGTCCAAGCCGGCCCCCTTCGTGGGGAGCTCGGCAAGGACGTCCACCACGTTCCGCACTGCGTCCCTTCTGGGGTATTCCAAAGACACGGAGATGAGTGTCACTCCCAAAGGGAAGCGATCAGACTGGGTCACAAGACGCTGTGGGGAGAGCCGGGCAGCCTTGTGTTCTCCCTGTGCCTGACAGTGAGCAGGGAAAGGACCAGAAGCAGGAGCAGAGGGCAGCAAATGGTGCTCTCCTTGGGGGGACAGGAGGGAAAGGGGGTTTCCCTCCTTACTCTAGACTTGGGCTGTTTGGAAGTTTTACATTGTAGAGGTGTCCTGAAATAATTCAAAAGAAAGCATGAATGTAAGACAGAGCTCAGGGCCAAGCGTGTCAGTAACTGTCAGAGAGCACGCGACAGCCTCCCCGCGCTGGGCTGACGGCAAGGCCGAAGGTTCCGCAAAAAGCCGCGGGTGGTGCTTTGGGCAGAGGACACAGGTGGCCTCTGGTGTCCTGTCTTTCCTCCTCGAGCACGCCTTCAACTCGAACAACAGCTCCCGGCGGAGCGTCAGGAGTGGAGGCAGAGGCCCCTCGGAGTGCGTGGGTCGGGCACGGACCGGCTCCACATTCCCAGGAAGCACCGCTGGTGTCCTTACCTTGTCCCTGGCTGAGTCCCAGGGAAACACCCAGCCACAGCCACAGCCAGAGCCCGAGGAGGGGGCATACGGGGGCGCTCATGGCGCGCTGCCTGTGGGAGGAGAGCCGTCCGTCCGTCCGTCCACCCATCCATCCAACCACTCCTGAGCTTCTCCACCCACACCGGGCACCCCACATACAGTGACCCCACAGCTGCTCCATGCCCTGTCCACAGCGGACCTGTGTCCTGCAAGGCAGGGCAGGTGCTTCTCTGGGTGAGAGGTCAGCTGCCCTTCCCCTGCCCGCTCCCGGGTGCGTCGGGCCCAGCCACAGCCTCTGGTCTTGCATCCTGCCCTCAGGACATTCTCACAGGCCGGCATGGGGCCCTGACTGCTGGCCTGGTCACTCACTCGTCATTAGAACAGACTGGGACAGCCGCTGCCAGGGCCAAGGGGCCTGGGGAGGGAACGAAGCCAGGAAGGGGCAAACCCTGTCTGCAGCTGAGGGGTGTCAGAGCTGGGACCCCAGTCTGAGCACAACCCCTGGGGTCACGCAGCTGCCCTCTGCCAGACCCAGGAGGGTGTGTCCTGGTTGAGGACTGGCCCCAGTCAGCCTCTCAGCAGGCCTGAGAGGTCCTTGGAGGTAGGGTTGGGGTCCCAAGGGAGCCCTCTGGGGTCACCCTTCCACCCCCAAGCTGCACATGGCCTGGGGGGCTGCCTCTGCGGACAGTGCAGAAGGGACACACAGCACAGCACCTCGGGACCCCAGCCACCCCCAGGGAGGTGGTGGCCAGCCCCGCGGTGCAGAGTTGCTGAGCTCGCTGGCATCCTTGGGGCTGCAGGGGACTGGACAGCAGTGCATGGGCTCTGGACCCTCCAGGTCCCCAGAGTCCCCTCCTGATCCACATTCTGAAGCCAGACCCCTCCGCTCCCCAGTAACCTGACTTGGGGGGACCCCTCCCAGGGGCACAGAGGTCATGGCTGTGAACCGGAACCCTCCGCACAGTCTGCCCTCAATGCCCCAGGCCTCTTTGAAAAGGCAAGATCATCCTCCGATCACAGACCTGGGCAGACCCCTGGTGGCCCTCCCCATCACCCAGCCCCCCAGGACCACAGGCGAGTCACTAACCTTCTGGACGAGGGTGGCGTCTCTGGGTCCCCAGACACTCACCCCACTCTGGTCCTGCCGCAGCCCCGAGAGGCGAGGGCTTATCAAGGTCCCTGTCCCTCTGACGTCACTGCCTCAGCCCACCCCCTGGCCCACCCCTGGCCTACCCCTGGCCTCCTCCCCTCCCCAGGCTCTCCCTGCTTCCCAGCTATAGCCCAAGAGTGGGGGCACAGAGTCCCAGCATGAAGGACCCCGTCGCCGCAGGGCAGGGATCCCACGGCACCAAACACCTTTATCCCTCACTCCTCTGGGTTGGCCCCAAAGCGGGGATCACGGGACAGGCATCTCAGGGACCACGGCCACCACATGTGGACAGATGGCGGGCCGGGTGCCTCTGGTGGCCGGGGGTGGTGGGGGCACATCACTTCCTCCCGACTCCTCCAGTGTCAGCCCCAGTGCCCAGGCCCACTCTGGCCCCCGCCTGGAAGCCTCCCCCACACTCCTGGCTTCTCCTCGGCCTCCCGGGTCTGAAGGGCCAGCCAAGCTCGGCCCCTCCCTGCCAGTGAGACAGCCCCAGGCCCGGAGCCCCAGGCCTGCTGCCTGGGCGGGGACACTGACCACACCAGACCCGTTCCAGCCCCACCCCTGGACCCACCTGACCCGGGACCACCCACCCCAGGCAGCTGAGGGGTGAGGGGAGCTGACAACCAGGAGCCCAGCAGGGCTGGCGGCCCACGTGGGGTCCAGCTTCCGGGGACAGAGGCACTTTGGGGAGCGGGCACAGCACGGGGCTCTTGGGCTGGGAGAAGCCCACAGTCTGAGACATGGTGTTCACTGCAGGCTGGCAGCATTCAGTGGGCAAAGATGCTGCTGGGGGAGGGGAGCCCTTGCCCGACTCCCAGGGGGGCTCAGCCAGCCCCCTCCCCGCACTCTTGGCCACAGGGAGGACACTGCCTCGCCCCTGCTGGTCCACCAGCCCCAAACCTGGGAACAGGGCTGGGGGCTGGGGGCATACGGTCCCAGGCCTGGGCCAGGAAACCAAGGTGGCTTGGCTCCAGGTGCCTGAGTGCCCCTCTGGCTCCCCCCACCCCCACCCCCACCCCCGTCCTGACCGCTTTGTGAGCCCAGCTTCCCTCTTGGGGGCTGGGAAGGGCCTCAGGCCATAGGCCAGATAGAGCTCTTTGACGCCGTAGCCCGGGAGCCGCCTGAGCCTGAGGACCCATGGCTGGACACACAGACCCAGTGCTGATGGATGCCGTGCCCAGCGTGCTGGGCACCTGCCCAGTCCTGGGACCCACACACCCGAGTGCAGACCAGCAGAGAGCGCTGGGCACAGCAACCACAGACAATCGTGCCCTGGACAGTGTCTAGGTGTGGCTCGTGGGCGCTCGGGACACACACACGCACTCACACGCACCCCACCGAGGCACCGCCCCGCACACATACAAGCCAACTCCTCTGCACCCTTGGCTGGACCCTGTCCAACCTCACCTGTGTGCCCCCCCTGGAGTCCTGCACAGAGCAGGAGCTCATCACCTGTGACCCCGGAAGCCCCAGAAACCAGTCAGCAGTGTCAGGGCTGACCCGGGTCACTGAGAAAGGTCAGGATGGCACCGCGTGCTGGCTGGCCCGTCACCCATCATGGGCCCTCACTCCAGCATGCAGGTAGGGACCCTGAGCCCACCCCAAGCACAGGCCCCACTTCCCCCAGCCCCCAGCTGTGAGGAGGGTTGCAGGGGCTGAGCCACCTGACCGTGTCAGCTGGGTCAGACCCAGGAGGGCCGGTGGGACGGGGGTGCACACCAGACCGTGCGGAGAGTAGGGCTCCAGGAAGGCCCCAGTTCTGGGTGTGAGGTCCCAGGACAGTCGCAGCACGGAGGCCCGCCGGACGACTGAACCGGGTGGCAGAGGTGAACCTGCATGAGGAGCACGGCCAGGAGGAAGTGCGGAAAGGTCATGGGGAAGTCCAGAGAGAGGAGGAAGCTAAGCAGGGCTGGCCTTCTAGTGCACCTGCTGGTCAGTCTCAGCGTCTTCGGCAAGGGATCTGCAGCAACCAGGGAGCCTCACCTCGTGGTCACACCAGTCCCTGGTCGGCCCAGCGTCCTGGAGCAGGGGTCTGGGTGGGACTGCATGCAGAAGGCCAGAGGGGGTGAGGGCAGCCTCGTGGCCACTAGCCCAGTCTCCCCCCAAGCTGGCCAGACCGTACAGGTGGGGGAGGACCACTGGGATTCGGCCAGGAACTGACCCTGGGTCTGCCGGGTGCAGGACCCAGCCCCCCGGGACCACGTCCCACCCAGACAGGATGACCTGTGGGAGACCACCCAGGAAGAGAGCTTCCATTCTGGAAAGTGCACTCAGTGTCCCCCGGCTCTGCCGGCCTCCGACCGCTTCCCCATCAGGTGGCTTCGGGGGGATGCAGGCTGAGGCAGAGGGCACACGGCTTCCAAGCATTTCTACCCAGAGCCAGGCGAGCCGCTGTTGGCCCCAGGTCCCAGGCAGACACCCACTGGAGACCTCCCTGCCCTCCCACCTGCACCTCCAGGAGCCCCGTGCCACCCGCAACCACGTGGTGCTCACCCAGATCACTCTGCTTTACTCTGTGCCAGTGACCCCTGCACAGGAGAGGACCAGGGAGATGCTCGAGCCCCAGGACCTCGCAGAGCTGGAAGCCCCTGCGTCCCATCCCAGGCACAAGAGCACCCATCTTTGCCCGTGAGGGGTCTCGGGCCGCCACATCCCAGCACTCCAGAAGGGGGTCCGGGAAGCAGAGTGCCCCCCACCGGCACACGTCTAAAAACTCAACGCCACCCTAATTACTGCAGGCGGCACTGAAGGAGGCTCCCAGATCAAAGGGTGGCTCGCTCCCGACGGAACGTGGCCTCCCGACGAGAAGTCACAGGAGAGAATAGCCCGGACACTGCTGAAGCCTCTTGAGCCGCCAGCAGATCCGTGAGCTCCCATCCCGACAGGTGGGGGCCCCAGTACGGAAACCAAGCACCTGTCCCAACAGGGCGCAGACACCCGACGCTTGGGCTCCTCCTGAGCACGGTCACCCTTGGACGCTTGGCCCCCGGCAGGCAGACCGCCCGTGGGTTTGGCTCCCAGCCTGCCCGGGGGCTTCCCTCCCGTCAGGGACAGCTGGCTGGTGCTCAGTGACCGAGCCCTTCACAGCAGCAAACACAGCTGCTCCACACTGGATGCCCCTGCCCCTCCGGGGGGTCCTCCTCAAGGGACAGCTGTGCGCTAGCGGGCTGTCCCGGGACGGCCCGCGGTGACCACCTGCTCAGACACGCCACAGACCAACAGTGGCTGCCGCCGGCGCCCGCGCTCAGGGGGCCTGTCCCGGGACGCCAACAGCCGGCAGCGGCCGGAGGCCGTGATGGACGCGTCCGGCACAAATCACCCAGGAGGACCCAGGCACACGCAATGCCTGGTCAAAGGGCGGCTGACAGCAACCTAAGAGCCAGAGGAAGGGGGTGTGGGGACGGAGGACCCACCACAGCCGCGGCTCACGTGGAGAAAGGCTCATCAGTACCAGACCGTGACCGGGGACAAGGGGGCAGCAGCACGTGGGTGCTCAGTGCCAGGTGGGCTCCATCCGTCACCGCAAGCCGAGCCCCGGGAGCATAGCATGGGAGGCCGCCGCGGCGGGCACAGCAAGGTGCCAGCAGGGACGCGGCGGCAACCCAGCCCGACAAAGGTGCACCTCGCTGGGAAGGCCCGGACGCCACGCGGCTCCTCGAGCCCACCCCGCGGCCGTGCACCTCCAGACCCGGGCTCGGGAGGGAGCGTGCCGGCCTGCCTTCCCCCTCCCTACGCTTCACTTTCACGTCCCCGTTCCTCAGCCGTCTGGGGCATCCTGGGGGAGCTGCCTCAGCTCAGATGGGCACGGCTAAGTGAGAGCGCGAAGGACCCAGGTGTTGGGGCCGAGCCGGAGGCCTTGGGGCCGTGTGCGGGGCCCTGGAGAGGCGACACAGGAGAGCGGCCCCAGCAGCGAAGCAGGGCCAGGGAGGGGAGCTGGCACGTCCCTCACGCAGGCAGGCTGGCCTGGAACAAGCCTGGACCCGACGCTTGGGAGCACGGACGCCTCGCACACGACACGGCACGAGCTGCACCCCACTCGGGAGGGTTTATTAGAGGGCGTTCTGGGAACGATGGCGCGGCCCACCTCCTGCAGGAGCAGACTCTGCCCCGCGTCACCCTGGCCAGGTTCCCACGGGAGAGACGCGGACCGTCCCGCACCGCGGCCTTGCGGGGCCGGCGCCCGAGCCAGCCGGCAGCACCAACCCCACTCCCACTGGGGTGCTGTCTTCACGCCACGGCTGGTCTCTGGGCTCAGACGGGAGGAGTGTGGGGCAAAGTGCAGACGCAGGGGCCGCCGCAGCTGCTGGGGCGCAGCGGGCCTACCAGTCCTGGTCGTCCCAGCCCTCGTCCACCGGCACCGCGGGCAGAGCGGCCTTCTTGGCGGTCTTGGCTCTGCCCTCCCCACCGCCCCCCCAGGCCTCCCCGAGGTCGCTGTGGTCGCTGTTCTTATGGTTGGACGCGGAGCCCGAGCCCCACACATCCCAGCTGTCCGAGCTCCTCTTCTCGGCCGAGGCGTCCGCGCACGTCCAGCTGTCGCTGCTCGGGGACCTGTGGCCCTTGGCGGGGTCGGCACTCCCGAAGGTCTCCCAGAAGCTCTGGTCCACGGCGCGGTTCTGGGGGTGGTCCCCACCGCTGTTCTGGTAGCTCTGGCCCCCCAGGGGTCTTGGGAAGACAGAGAGAGACTGAACAACGGCCCAGGCCACCAGGACGTCCCTTGGCGTCCTGCCCCAGACTGCAGAGGCCCCACCCAGACCCCGACGCCCACGGGGCCTGGAAGAGGCCCCCGAGCAGCTCCACCTCAGAGTCTGGGGCACAGAACCCGCCAGAAGCACTCGGGCCTCCTGCTGCCAGAGCCCGGCTGGTTTTCTGCAGTGACTGAGGAAAAAGGGGAGCCCTGAGTGCATCAGCCCTCCCCGCGCTGTCGAGACAGAGGGGGCCCCGCAGAGCCCCTCAGCAGAGCTGTACCCCGACGAGCGCAGCCACGCGGCCTGAACCACCAAATGGCGCGTCAGGAAGACGTGCGGCCCGTGCCCGTGAGCACAGGGAACGTGCCCCCATCCAGGAGCGGCCCCCACCATGGCCGGTCTTCCCGCCCCGCCCACCCCGCGGCTGAAGAACGGGAAACCAGGCCGACCGGGCTTCCAGCAGACAGGCAGGATGCCAGCCCGGAGCGGACAGTGAGTGAGGGCACAGGGTCGCTGAGGCGCCCCCGCCGGCCCCACCCACCCAGACTGGAGACGGGGATCGGCACTGGTGCCCCTCCTCTCCAGGCCTCCCCACTCCCTCCCTGCCCTGGGCAGCAGCAGTTACCACAGGGCTGGTATCTCTATGGTTCTGGGGGCTGCTGTGACCCCCGTGCCCCTGGGGGATAACATGCCTGTCCCTCAGCGGGGATGCCGACTGCCTCCCAGAGGCCTCGTGGGAAGAAACCCAGGGAACCGGCGTACCTGTCCGACGGGTCCTCTGCTCTCCCAGAAAAGAACGTGGTGACGTCCCGCCATCCCCTACTGCCAACCCCCTGGACCTGGAAGGGGACGGGAGGCGGCAGCTCAGGGTGGGTTCTCACACACAGCACATACACAGTGTCCCGCTCAAAGTCCCGGCAAAGCTTAGAGACGTGAACGGCACGGCCAAGCTCAGGCCCACAGGCTCGGGGGCTCGAGGAAACAGCATGCGTGCGAAGCCCCCTGCAGGCTTCCCCGTGCGGAGAGTGGTGGGCTGGGAAGCAGGGGGCCGCGCACACCCACACCAGCCTGGAGGACGGCGGCGGCCCTCCACCAGCACGTCAGGAAGGTCGCACTCACCGGGGAAGGGCAGCGGCAGCAGAACGAGGGCAGAAGAAAAAGAAGCGACAGTTAGCAGACGTGAGAGACCCTCCCCCCGCCAAGCCGTTTCCATATTCCTCTGGCGGCCGGCACGGGAGCGTCTCGCTGAGTCTCCTCACCCACCGCTCAGTGGGCACTCGGGCCGCACGAGCGCGCGGGGGCACGGAGAGCCCAGGCCCTTCCTGCTCTCGGCCCGGGCGCCCCGGAATGTGGAGACTGGCTTCCGGCTGCACCTGAGCACCAGGCGGGGCCTGCCCTACCTTGGACGCCAACTGAGAGACCCCACTGGACACATCATCAAAAATCTTTCCCTCTTTCACCTGCGTGGGTTAAAACAGTGCCGTCAGCCGAGCGGCAGAAAGCCCACTGTCACCGTCTCTGAGAAGAGATGTGGCGGCAGCTCTGTGTGACCCCGTCTCCCCCTGGGCGGCCCCCTCCCCACAAGGGAAGAGGGGGCGGGGGCCGCCGACCGCAGCCCAGGCTGCTGGAACACAGCATCCTCCCGGGGGGGCCTCTGTTTCAGCAACAACCTCCTGAGGGCAGGCTGGCACTGCCCCCCGAGGCCCCAGCCCGCGGGGGGCCTCCCTGGCTCAGTCAGCCACCTCCGCGCTGCCCACACCCAGCTGCACTCTGAGGAACGGAGCTCGAGGCCAGGCCTCCCGGAGCCCGGGGGTGGGGGCCCCCTGGGACACGCGGCACTGGCGGGAGTCGGAGCCCCCAGCACCCGCTGCTCCCCTGGAACGAGGGCCTACGGGGGTGGGGACGGAGCAGAGGGACAGGGCATCGGCTGCGTTACCTTCTCCTGGGCAGGTCTGAGGACGTTCTCGTTCAGACTGTGGCCCAGCTCCGAAGCCTGTGTGAGGAGAGGGAAGTCAGGTGAGCCCGGGCAGCATGTCAGCCAGGACACCGGTCAGCACGTGGCCGCGAGCTTGGCCGACCGAGGGAAGGCAGCAGATGGTGAGCGGCCCACCAGCACCCAGGGCTCCCCTGCCACCCCCCCACCCCCGGCAGCCGCGGCACCCAAGGCAGTTGCACGAAGTGCCCCCCAGGCACCCTGGCTGGGGGGCGGCCAGAGACACTGCCCCAGGCCTACCCGCTCTAGAGGGGAGAGGCCCAGAGTGGCAGCAAATCCAGCGGCCTCCCGCGGGTCTTCCCATCGGAGCCCACGCAATCCCATCCCGTGAGGACAGCCCGTGCGCTGGCAGCAGGTCACATGCTACCCCCCTTGGCTGGGGTACAGGCGGCTGCACCCTTGGTCACTGGAGGGGGTGTGAGCCCACCTGCCCGCCACCGGGCACCTGACTCCGAGGGAAGAGCACAGAGCCAAGGTGGGTGGGGCGGCGGCGGGACGATGGGCAGCTAAGAGAGCGCGCCAGGCAGCAGGAGCCTCGATAGACAGAGTAACCGCGCGCCTGTGAGCACCTTGCCACTGGGATAACCCTCCTTCCGCTCACTGAGCTCGAGGTGATCAAGCCACGAAATGAAAATCCTGCCCAGTAGCTCCTGGCACCCCAGGAGGAGCTGTGCCCCCCGGTTTGGACCCCTGGCTTCCTGCCGGGGTCTCAGGTCCCTGAACAGCAAGGATGGGCCAGACAGGAGCCCAGCAGGCTGGCGGGAAGCTCCGAGGGTGAGGGCACGTAAGCGAGGACACATACAGGCCACGGTCCGGGGAAGCTCAGGGCAAAGCGCGTGGTCAGCACAGAGACGGGGAATGGCATGCACGAGAACAGACTTGGGGCCTTACCATCTCGGGCTGCTGCTTGGAGCCCCAAAACTTTACCCAGACAGCAAGGGAGCGGGTTGGGGCGGAGGGGGAGAGAGGGAGAAAGTGAGAGAGCGAGCGAGCTCGGGCAGGAGCAGTGGTGAGCAACCACCAGGAAGCACCTCCAGACGGGTTAATTAGCCTCAGGCTCTCATGGCGTCACCCCAGCAGGTGTCCTCAAAAGTGACCTGGAGTGCCCACTTACTGCCACCGAACCTCACTGCTTTCCAGTCCCAACGTACAACCTCCAGAACCACACGTGCGCAAGCAGGTCAGGAGCCCGAAACAGGGACAGGCCATCCTCGAACACCAACCACCCCCCTCCCGGGACAGCCTCTGAGGCCGCTGCCTCCGGCCTGTGTGATAACCCCCACCACCAGGGCACAGGCGGTCCAGAGCCCTGCCACCACCTGGGGACTGCCAGGGCTACCAACCAAGATTTGAAGAAAAAGAGAAACGCCAACGCCCCAAACCACCGCCCACGAGAGAAACTAACTGGGAAAGGAGGACTAGCCTGCCCCACCCCACAACCCGCAGTCCTGGCAACACCAGGCTTCCTTCCACCCACGGGTGCAGACAGCCGACTGCACATGAGCCTTACAGCTGTCCGGGTGCCCTCAGCCCTGCAGGCCCTTATAGGCGCAGCTTCTTACCCCCCTAACCCACAAGCACCTGAAGTGATGCACACAGAAACGCCCCCTCTCCCAAGCACAGGCCCCGAGGAGGGCAGACCAGGCAGCGTCTAGACGACGACAGGACACAACTAGAAATTTTAACAGCACGGAACGCAGAAGCTTCTGTTGTTACCTTCTGACTTGCTTGAGATCCAAATTTGGTTGCCTGAAAAGAAACATGGCTTTCAGTCACCAGTCCTGACACCAGACCCCTGGCTGCACATCCCCAGGTCTCAGCACTCGGTCCTAGGCCTGTCTCCTGATGGCCTCCCACCTCCCAGCAGCTCCAAGGGGCCCAGCAAAGCTGCCCACTAGGCCAGGCCCCGCTGGAGGGGGAGCAGGTCCCCGGTAGAGGGTGGCCACCCCAGCCCCGTCAGCTGTGGGCTTTGCCGTGGCCCAGACCATGCCACCTGCTTGGCGCCCAGTGCGGGCCCATCCCACAGCTCACCTTAGCACAGCACCCCCAACACTTTCATAAACAAAGAAAGAAAAGGCCTGGCCACAGATGCTCCCGCTGAAGGGGGCCTGAACCTCCTGGCTGTGCCCTCCAGGGACGAGGCCTGGGGAGAACCAGCGGAGGCCCCGCACCAGAGCAGAGGGGCCACAGGGCCTAGTGCCCCTCGAGGCCACATGGGGGAGGATGCGGGGCACTGCGGCCCACGGGGAGCATGGAGAGGGGTCCATAGCGCCTTCGCTCCGGCCCAGAGCCAGCCCTGCGGTCCTGCTGGTTGTGGAGCTGCGGCCACCCGTCTGGCCCTCAGAACGTTCCTGTCCAGGGCTACTTAGCCGGGCGGCCCCTTGAACCTGCCCTGGGCTCCTTCTTCTCCAGGTCACCTTCCTCACCAAGGCCCCGCTGACCAGGAAACCTGCCAGACGCCCCCGACAGTCTCCCCTCCGGGGTAACGTCCTCAGACCGGTTTCTGCCTGTTCCTTTCCAAGGTCATGCCCACTCCCCACCTGTGTGTCTTGACTAAATCCCCAACCCTCCCTCACTTGGGCAGAGGAGCAGGTAAGGGGGAGAGAGAAGTCCCAGTGCCTGAACCCTGCTCCGTGCCCAGCAGCAGAAACTGGAGGGCTGGCAGGACCACTCAGGCTGCAGGGCTCACAACATGCCGCACCGGAGCACGGCACACCCCTCTTCTAGAGCGGCGCCCCTCTGCACACAGCTCACCTCTGACGTGCAGACGATGCCTGCCACTGAAGCAGCAAGCGGCGGGGCCCCGAGAGCACACGGCCTGGGAGGGAGCCCTGCGGCTGGGAACGCCCTCCACCCCTCATCGGAGCCCCTTCAGGACCCCTGTCTGCCCCCAGACCCCAGACTAGCACAGCCTGTGTGGGCCTGCAGGCGGGGCGCTGGGATGGGCTACTCACACCCTCCTTAGCGGCCGAGGCAAACTTGCTCGCTCCGGTGGTGAAACTGCTCCAGCCCTGGAAAGAAGCAAGAGAGAGGCCACGTCGAGGTTCCACATGCGGCCGAACAGGCAGGCTGTCTGCCATGCCATCCACCGCTCAGCAAGGGGCTGACGGATTCCGCCCCCAAGATGGGCAGGACGGCCACCTCCAGGGTCCCGTTCCCAGCGGCAACCCCACTTCCCACGGAGAGCGGGCACGCAAGCCGTGGGCACACCTGAACGCCACGCACCCGACTCCTGGCAGCCACGGCATCCGGCCCAGCGCGTGCATCTGTGCCGTGTCCACCTGACTGGACCTCCACTGCACGCATGTGCCCGTTCTTCCCTTTGCCCTCGGTCCCTCCTACCTCCCCTCGGAGGGGTCAGGGCCTGGCACCTAGTCTGCGGGCAGACCTGTTCTGAGTTCGAGGTCTTCTCCCTAAGCCCCCAAAGCCGACTGAAACTATTTACAGACACAGATGTCTCACTCAAACCCCAACTTCCCAGCAGAGCCTCTTCCCCCGCAAGGAAGCAGAGGAACCCTTAGCTCAGGAGACAAGCACATTCAGCTTCCTCGGTGAATTAAAGACCCGTAGGAGGGGGACACAAACACAAATGCGCTACGTTTGGTGGGACCCAGAGAAGGGACCCTGGCTGCCCGTGGCTGCTGCTGCCCGCGGCTGCCACAACCCGCAGCTCTGGAGGGGCAGCCTTAATTCCTGACAAGTTCCATCACTTCGTGAACAGCACGTGTGCACGGATCAGAAGAAGACAGTGGACAGTGGTGCTCAGCAGACCTCCCACTGCACCCAGGACGCAGGACCCTACAGTGGCGGTAGACACACGGCCACTCCTGGGTGCTTCCTGCGTTTTCACCCATCACGTCTGCTCCTTCTGCACTTGCTGCGTCCCCCACCCAGGGCACCGAAGACCCCATCCTGTTAGCGTGGAGGACATCTCCTCGCTTTTTCACGCGTGCGGTACCCAGAGACAGGCCGCTGCCAGTCGTCACTGGCCAGACCCCCGGGGGTCTGCAGCTACCATCACAGGCAGCGCTAAAATGAATGAATGTCGTCTAAAAACACAGTAAGTTTCCTTGGAAGACGATGGTTTGACCTGAAGCTGAGGACAAAAGCGCAGGGCCGCGAGCGCCAAACCCAGAGGGTGCCAGAGCCCACGCGGCTTGGAGAGCGGGGCTGGTGGGCAGAGCGCCGGGATTGGCTGTGCCCAGTGCTCTGGCAGGACAGGAGGACCGGGCACGCACCATACAGGACGTTGTGCTTGGAGGAAACGCGCCTGACTAGCGGGAAACATACATTCTGTAACAAAGTACGTAAGCAACTGCACACGCCGGGACCGGAAGGAATAGGCCGGGTCATAGAGAAACTTCGCTGAAGGAAAGGGGAGGTTGTCCTGCAGGCGGGGCCGGCTGTGGGTCTGCAGGGCAGGGCGCGGTCCTCACCGAGCACAGGGACGACACGGCGCTGCTGAGGAAGTCCTCGTCCCTCTTCGGGGGCGGCACCGTGTTCCCAAACCCCACATAGCGGTTCTCCTGGGCCCTGACAGGGAGACAAAAAGCAGCATGCTCCTGAAAGCCTCGAGGCGGGAGGCACCCAGACCCCGGGCAGAGGTGCGAGGGCCCCGGGGGGGACGTGCATCCACAGCAAGGCGGGCACACAAGTCAAGCTCCCCTCTGCTCACTGGAGAACACCCTCCTGCTGCATTTAGCCAGGAACCTTGGCAAGACCCAAAGCCCACAGCCTGTTATTACAAGAAGCATCCAGATGATTTAATCTGACAGCTCCAAGAACAAAACTCGCTTACAGGTCAGGCTGGTTCCAAGGAGGAAAACTATTCTTTTTTCCTTTTCTCTCCACTCAAAACCACTCTTCACACCTGGGCTGGCCCGGGGATTACCACGACCAGACGCGTGCGGGCTGTGCAGGCCCTGCACACGGAAAGCAGCAGGCCCTAGCTCTGAGGGACTGAACCCCCTGCTGCCCGTGGCCTCACCCCTGATAGGAGCCCAGGTCATCATTAAGCCAGTCTTCAAATGCCTTGTCTGAGGAGGAGGTCGAGTTCTGTGGGTGGCCAGAGGCTCTGAAAGGGAGAGTCAGAGGTCAGCGAGGCCAACAGAGGACAGGCAGGTGCCTGAGGGAACTGTCCGGGCCTCTATGCTGTTACATCCGCCTGGTCACACCTGGGCTCCTCCAAGAATGGAGCACCTAAGGCCAGCTGGCCTCCAAGTCTGTCTGAAAGGCGGCTCAGGCTCAAGCTGGCAACAAGCGGGCACACGCCGGCCCCAAGGGGCCGGACAGTAGCTCCACGCCTGCCCATGCCAGCAGGGAGACAGCAGAGAGGCTGGAGAGACGGAGGCTGAAGCAGGCACATCAGCAGTGGTCCAGGGACCTTCCACATAAAATGCACAGTGCAGGGGTGGGGTGGGGGGCCCCGGGCACCCACGGTGCAAACAGGGAGCCTTCTGTGGACCGGTCACTCCAGAACACCAGCCTCTGACATGCGAGAGGACGCAGGGGACCAGCCTGTCTGCATCACACCTGCACTTGGGGGTGGGCAATCCTCAGAGAGGACACAGGAGGTAAACAGCACTCAGCTGGGACGTTTCCTACGGAGATGCACGTGTGTCACGGGTGCGTGTCTGGAAGGACTCGCACCGAACGGGCTCTTGAGAAATGGGGAGGTACTCCCTTCACTCAGACACCGCTTATGGGTTTTGCATTTTTACTGAGAGCTTGTATTGCTTCAATGACCCACAGAGTTGTTTTTCCCACTGACTCTCGGGAGCAACTCACAATGGGAGCTGTTCCCACACCAATATGGGGTCCTGAGCTACGGCCGAGATTAGGGCCAGGCCCAGAACAGTCTGGAGCCAGACAAGAGGCCAGAGGAGTAGTTACCGGTGGGCAGTAGACGGCAGTGTCTTGGGTTGGGGTGGGGTCCAGTTCTGGGCAGGCGATGACTCGGGAGACCATTCTCTGCCTTCAGCCAGAGTGGCTACCTGCCGAGGGGACACAGGCATTAGCCAGCCCAGGACAGAGACGTCACCCGCTCTAGCGTGTCCTGTCTGCTGTCCCTCCCAGGCTCAGCGGCCAGGGGCTGGGGGCTCTCTGCCACATGTCAACACCGAGACAGGGTCTCACTCTGACCGCAATGAACAGCGGTGCTGGCGAGTTCTTGGTCAGTGGCTCTGACCCCACATGGCGCGCTGCCATCCTCGGCAGTTTCACCCACCACGTACAGAGGAGCGGGCACATGACACTCTCCCCGAGGGTGGGGAGGAAGGCCCATTCTTCACCCCTGCTAACAACGTGCCACCTACTTTGCCCCGGGTGGGACAAGACGGCCCACGTGTCCTGTCTGTGGACAGACTGTGCACGGCCTCTGCAGGGAGGTCAGAGCCCACAGGAGAACGCCAGCTCCCACGGGCAGAGCCTCAGCACCGCTGGTCAGCCGGTCCCTACCTTGTCCCTGAAGAGGGCCGCAGCCTTGCTGTTGTACTTGTCCTGCAGGGACCAGCAGGGGTCATAGTCCTCCTGAGACTCCAGGAACTCCCGGAATTTCGCGTTCCCTCCAGCTTTCATCTTCTCCAGCTCCACATCCTTCCACTTGTCCATGGTCACGGAGCGCACGAAGCTACAAACCAGAGAGCCAACCTACTTATTAGCACTAGGCGTCCAAGAGCCCCCAGCCAGGTCGTGAATCTGGCACAGGCACTTCCCCTGACAGAAGCGCAGAGCAGGCAAGGTGACACGCGTTACCCTGTCACCGCACACCCGACAGGAGGCCCTCGAGGCAACAGGGGCAGGGCACTGACCTGAGGTGCACCCCGAGCCCGCGGTGCTTCCCCGAGCACTCCAGGCAGATCCAGATGCCGTAAGTCACACTCACCCACTGAGGATTGAACGCACCACACTCAAAACACACCTGCGGAGAGGGTCACGTGCGACTCACCCAGGCACTTGGGGCCCTGGGACCCCAAAGACCCGACAGGTGGCCCCAAGAGGAAGCAGAGGAGACTGGCCCGAGACTAACAGTAACAGGGAGAGCTCTGAGAGGTTTGCTAAACCTCAAAGCACCAGAGCAGAGCAGACGCTTACGTTGTTTTCATCCTGCACTCTGACTTCTTTCAGAACTTTCCTCGTTCTGGGGCTGGCCATGATGCTGCAAAGGAGAAACACAAAGTTTTAAAACTTACCAGTAGGCTACTTTACGAGAAAACGAGTGAGTGCAATAACACTAGCACACACAGCTTCAGAGAAATCCCACGAAGCTGCCTGGAAGCTACGGGGTAACGCCCCTGCTTGCTACAGGCGGCACGAGGGGAACCACTTACAGAAGGAATCTGTCCTCCACATGCTAAGAAAAACCCAGAGCCGTCTGGTTTCCAGCCAAAGGCAACGCAATTATTAAGAATAACATGATTACCGGCGTCCGCTTTGCCTAAGCATCATACACCACCCGCACTGCATAATTTATAAAACGTCCCGTCTTGTGACGAAGCCCAGAGCAAGGGGTGGTCTTTCTACAACGTACACAGACTGGCCGCTCAATCTGACTGCCCACCTGAAAGGCCAACACCGCAGACTGGGGCCAATAACATTCGGAGACAGGGAACCCCAGTTCTCTGCACGCCACATCTTCCTTCCACTCCCCAGCCTGTGGTGTGGGGCCGAAGCGGAAGCCCTGACCGATACGTGCAGAGGCCGGTCTGTGGGGGGCCTACAGGGATGTCCTCCAAGGGTCCATCACAGAGGGTGGAGGTGACCGACGGCATGAGCACAGCAGGGCACACCTGCCACCATGCCTCACGGGGACGCTGCCGGAGCACCACAGCCCTTAATTCAGGCTGAAGAGAAAAACCATTTCTGTCTCTACTCAGCTCCTAGCTTTGGCAAAGCTCAAGTTCAAGCAACAGCCCACTGGATTCATGACCAGGAAAAGCGATACAGCAGATTCAAGCTGGAGGAAGGGGTGGGAGCCAGCACAGTGCTGTCCATAAAGCAACCCCACGGTCCTGCACACCCCACCACCACTTGGCCCCAGGCCGCCTCTACCACCACCAACGCACAACTGAGCGTGTGTCCCCCTGAAGCTCGCCCTTCCCTCACTCGTGAACGGAGCCTGTGAGCTGCTGCCCCTAACTCTCATGGCAACACGAGCCCACTGCAGAACACGCAGGGACCCTGTAAGTGGCTCAGAACTGGACACCTGCCCAGCTGCTGGACATTTCATGCAGCCAGCTTCTCTGCTGATAGTGAAGCTGCAGCTTTCTACGGACGTGCAGTGTAAACATTCCAGGATCCCTGGCTGTACCTCACCTGTAATCTTAGTACGTAGAAATAAGTCACGGGTGGAAACCCTGACTCTCTGCACAACCAAACCTTCTAAATCTGGAAGGCCAGGACTCCTGTGTTCATCAGTGCCCACTTTGAAGCTAGCTGAAGGAAATAACAAATAAACACTGGTTTTCCGCTTTTTACAATTGATGGACAAAACTCAGAGTCCACCCGCGGCTCTTCTGCCCGCTGCAGTTTTCTGTACTATGTGTGACAGTCTACCAAAACCATCAGATCTCAAGGGCAAACACCTGAACACATCATCCTGGTCGGACTCATTCAAGTGGGATACTTTCAGCACACTGAGCATCTATGCCACCGCATGAGAAAGGCATCAACAGGTAAACACCACGCACACCTGGAGAGACATCGGGCTGATCTGAATTCACAAAGCCCTCTGCACACATTTGTCTCACTGGAGAGCCCCTTGTGGCCTGCTGCCCGATCAGGTCTCCATACTCAGCCCTGTGCTCCTTCCAGAGAACTGTGCCTTCCCTCAGAGGTTCACATTCTGGTCAGAAGGCACCGGCAAACAGAAGTCAGAACTGGGTTGAGCATGCTCCGAATTTCTAATTGTGTAAAATAAAATTAGGCAGACCAAATGTTTGCAGAACTAGTAGCAAAGTAACACGTGAAAAGGAAATGACCTGGATTTTAAAGAAACTCCCCTTGGGGGCCAGCTTTGGATGTGAGCATCCTTCAACTCTCTGAAATGCTAACTTTGATCCCTGAAAACGCATCCTACCTTTCAAAACCACAAATACGGTCTATCTTGAAAAACCGTCCAAGATCTCTTTAAAGCTTGAAACCAGACGGTAAAATGCAGCTTTCCGCAAGTGGGCATAACTCCGGTAAACGCTGAACCAAATGAGGACACTTTTTCTTGGTTCGCCACATAAGCCACTTGTTAACTGCACAACGCTTGGTCCTGAAGTTGGGACCTTGTCCGTATCATACATTAATGAAAAGGGATGACTGCAGGGCAGGGCTGGGTCCCCAGGGCTGTTACAGTGACGGAGACAGAAACCCCCGCGAGCATCCAGGACACCTGTGTGAAAGCGCAGCCCCTCCCCCCGGACGCACGGATCTGTTGTGAACCTGCGCGGGGTGGGGTCCTGGGAAGCAACGCCAGAGCAAGCCTGAGAGCTCAGCATCCCCCGGGCCATCCCCACGGGCGCACTGTCACGGCCAGAGCGCGGCAGGAGGGTTAGGCCTGCCCCGAACGAACACCATCCCCTCCCAGCGTCGGTGGTCTGCGGTGGAGCCTTGGCCGGGGCAGACGGGGCGCACATCCCAGGGAACCGAAAAGGGCCGTTCGAGCCCCTCCCGGGCGGCTCCCCCTCCCTCCCCGAGGGGGCCGTCCACGGCGCCGGGCGAGGCCGAGGCTGCCGCTCCTGACCGCACCGGCCTCCCCCGCACCCGCCGACGGAACCCTAGCTTCCCAGGGAGGAAGCCCCTCAGCCTGCAGCCCCGGGCTGTCCGTCTGGACGCTGCCCCCCTTCCCCGGGAAGAAGCGCAGCGGCGGGGTGCGCGGGGCCACGGCTGAGGGAGGCTTCCAGGAACCGAGGTGGGGCGGCTTCCGAGGAGAGAGGGGCGGCGGGCCGGGGTCCGGGCCGGGTCCTCGGGCCACGCTTACCGGGCGGGGTCCGGACTCGATCGC